TTTGGCATCCCTTCAAAACTCATACGGCTGTGTAAAATGACGTTGAGCAATACCACAAGCTGCGTCAGAATTTGGAAAGATCTCTCCGCGCGGTTTCAGACAGGGCGACTCCTCAGACAGGGCGACTCCCTTTCATGTGACTTCTTTAATCTGATGTTGGAGAAGATAATAAGAGCTGCAGAACTGAACCGCTCAGGAACAATTTACTACAAGAGCTTGCAATTGCTGGCTTATGCCGATGACATCGACATCATCGGTAACAAAAACCGCGAAGTCTGTTCTGCCTTTTCCAAGTTGGATAGGGAAGCAAAGCGCATGGGTCTGGTGGTAAACGAGGACAAGACGAAGTATCTCCTGTCATCAAACAAACAGTCAGCACATTCGCGCCTTGGCACCCACGTCACTGTTGACAGTTACAATTTCGAGAAAGTAGAGAATTTCGTTTACTTGGGAACCAGCATTAACACCGATAATAATGTCAGCGTTGAAATCCAACGCAGAATCACTTTTGCCAACAAGTGCTACTTTAGACTGAGTAGGCAATTCAAGAGTAAAGTTCTCTCTCGACGTACGAAAACCACGCTCTATAAGTCGCTCATCATGCCCGTGCATGGACAATGACAACATTCGATGAGGCGGCTCTTGGAGAGTTTCAGAGAAAGTAGACTCCGTCAGTGTGGGACTTTAACCCGAACTAAACCTCCTACCGTCATGTACCGTATTTCCCCCCGGTACTACCGTCAAGTATTTCTTCGGGCGGTTTGAGCACGAAACTCACACGTACGTTATTTTTCTGGAGTTTCCAGTTTGATAGTTATTTCCTACTACCCCCCTATCGACCATATGTGTCAGGATACTGGTTCAACTTACCAAGGTTCTTCTTCTGTCTTGTTCAGCTTTTCTGAGTGAGTTCATGATTTTTGCTGCTATATTGAAAACTGCATTCTAGTTTTCTGGGGATTGGAGCATATTTGCAACGATATTTTCAGGAGTTGGGTCTACTTTAAAGACATCTCTCAGATAAATCCGCTCTCTGGCGAACTTATTGCAGTAGAAGAATACATGTTCGACGTCTTCGGCAACGCATCCAGTGCAGGAATCACATGTATCAGTGTCTTCCAGCTTGAAGCGTGTGAGGTAAGCCATAAAGCAGCCATGACCTGTAAGCAACTGGGTTATATGAAAATTTACCCCCCCCCCCCCCCCCCCCC